CGGCTTTGCAAGCCTATTGTTTCACGGAGGAAAGATTCTACCTTCTGTTGAAATCGTGAGTGAGCTGTAGTAGCTTGCTTTTGGAGTTTCGTGGCGGTTTCGTTTAGGTGACGGTCGGGTATTGGACTGTCATATATTGGACGGCTAATAGGTTTGGTTAGGAATCTTTAAGTGTCATGTTTCTGTATTTCGAATACTTACGTATCAAATTTCTATGTTTCGGATACTTAGGTATCGGATTTCTATGTATCGAATTAGTATATTCCGGATCCCTATGTAGCAAATTACTACATATCGAATTCCTATATTCCGAATCCCTACGTATCGAATTTCTACATTTTGAATTCCTATATTCCGAATCCCTACGTATCGAATTCCCACATTTCGAATTCCTACGCCCCGAATCCCTACGTTCCAAATTCCTATATTCCGAATCCGTACGTACCGAATTCCTACGCCCCCAATTCCTACGCTCCGAATCCCTAAATTTGGAATTCCAACGCTTCGACACTCTATGCACCGAATTCCTACGCCCCCAATTCCTACGTTCCGAATTCCTAGCTTCCGAGTCTCTAAATTTGGAATTCCAACGCTTCGACACTCTATGCACTGAATTCCTACGCCCCCAATTCCTACGCTCCGAATTCCTAAATATGGAATTCCAACGCTTCGACACTTTATGTACCGAAATCCTACGTTTCGAATCCCTATGTCCCGAATCTCTATATCTCGAATTCCTATGTCCCGAATCCCTATGTCCCCAATACCTCCAACCACAACTCCCTACATCCAAAAATCCTATAACCCCCAAACCCACACCCAAATGTCTACCTTCACATCCCTAATTTCCTATATACCAAATCCCCGAATTCACCCAGTCACCATTCTACAATTTCACTCGACATCTATCCCCCAAATTGGAACATCCCCACACGTCCAGATGTCCACATGACGCCAGAATTAATTTGAATATGGAATAGATTATTTTTCCTGTGGGTAAAGGATGACTTGTAGAATCGAAAGGTCGGTAATGGAAAAAGTGTAGGGTTGTCGAGTTATTGGACGACGATATAATCGGCCGGGTCGTTTCGGTGTCGGTGAGTAGGCACGTACCGCGTATGTATCTTGACGAATTCAACGGCGCGAAAATAGCGAGGAACGTTTAAAATAAAGTCGCGGCGTCGGTAAATTTATCGTTTCGAACGCGGGATCTATTTACCGTGGTCCCTCGGGATCGCGGCGCGATGAAAACCACTAAAATACCGGCTGGAATTCGTACGCGGCCACTCCGCAAAAACTGCCTGCCCTCCTTGTCACTCACGTGTCACTTCTGTATAAGCGGTGAAAATAAGGCCCGGGTTTTGGAATACCTGACTGGTTAGTCAGGCCATTTAGTCATTCCTCTTATACCGGGTACCCGGTATCGCGCAGTCACCAGAACTCGCCTTTGGGAACCATCCAGATCACAAATTAGCCTCGTAAAAAAAACGCCTCGAGGGTTACAGAAGCTCACCGAAATAAACACGTTAAGTAACAACATCGGAATACGGAGGCGACCGTATATTTACAAGCGAGATGCCGAACACCATACAGCTTTACGGATTCCCATAAACAGCTGTCGGACACCGCTTTGCCCATGGCTACCACGTGAATGGACATTTACCCATGCTGGATTAACCGGTGACCAAAATATATGCTTCTTTACGTCGCGACCATTCTCTCTTATTTCTCTTTCTAACTTTATTTTCATATTAAATAAAATTGCTAAGGTAAGACATTAAGCTATTTATCTTATTAAATAAAATTGCTGAGATAAGACATTAAATAGAATTGCTAAGACAAGACATTAAATATAATTGCTAAGACAAAACATGAAATAAAATTGTTAAGATAGGACAATAAATAAAATTGCTAAGATAAGACATTAAATATAATTACTAAGACAAAACGTTAAATAAAATTGTTAAGATAGGACAATAAATAAAATTGCTAAGACAAGACATTAAATAAAATTGTTAAGACAAAATATTAAATAAAATTGTTAAAATAAGACAATAAATAAAATTTTTAAGATAAGACATTAAATAAAATTGCTGTTTCCTGGTTTATGAACTCTTGACATCAAGTGACGACATTGTGAAATTAAAAATATTAGACACTGTGCTCAATTAAGTTCACCTTTCATCGAAAGGGAAACTTTCTTCAGATTATTCTGAATTTTAAATGTTCGTGATTGGAAACTGGATTTTGTTATAAATATCTTTTTCTCAGATTACGGGAAGTATACTTAGAATAATTGATCGATCCCAAGAGTCTCGTATCAAGGTCCCTAAACACGCGATATCGATCATCGAATAAACTCGAATTAAAACAATGGTTCACGGAAGATCAGAGATCAAATTGCAGTGTCGAGACACGAATGCTACATAGATCGTTCCCCGTAGATTAAAAACCGAATCTAATCGACGATAATGAAATTGTTCGATCAAAAACCCTTCTGTCTCGACTGCGATTCTACGCCAGACAAATCCTATGGGTTTAGAATACGTTAGTTATAGGGGAAACTGGATTAGGTATTACAATATTTTCTGGACTGTAAAGATATGAGAGATGAACTGTGATATTTAATCTAATTTTATTTAATTTTTGCAAGAATTCAAAAAGAATTTGCAAGAATTCCTATTTGATTTCAATAGGATAGACGTGTGTGTTCTGATGTTAACAGCTACATTTCACAGCAGTGTCAGGGCAGTATAATGCCCAAGGGCAATATCAACTTATACTGCATTTTATGATACTGCATTTTACTACATTTAATCTACTACATTGTTACATTTTATTTTCTTTAAATAAACATTCTCTAACACAGTAATGTCTCGATATAAGCGAATCGATTTCAAACGTTCACTTATATAGTGTAGAACCTATAAGTCAAAGTCCGCACAGAAAAACGAACAGAGACAAATTTTATGAAACAAAAAAAAATCATAAAAATGTATCCACTCGTACCACTCTCGTATCGTTCGTGCACGGTTCGCAAAGCCCCTGATAAAAGGCTCGACGGCACCGAGTTGCACGGTTTATTTTAGATTATAACGTTGCATATCGCCGCGTGTAATCTCGATAAATAGCTCGTTAATTCCGCTTGATCATAATAAGATAACCGGCGGATTGGCGGGCCGCCAAAAATTCGAACATTCCCAGATTCTGACCGGCCCCCTTTGTCCCCCGGAGCCGCGCCCCCAAAAAACGCCCCCGTCTCTTCTTCTTCCCTAGTTTTCGCCTTCATTTTTTCGCGTCCGACGATTCATTGCCTCTTCTAATTAACGCGCCCTCGTGCCGAAGATTCATGTTGCTTCGAGGCGAGCTGTCGTTGGCTCGAAAACCGGGACTCTCTCGCGCTTATTCCAGCGATTTATAAATTTGAAATTTCCTGGCTGTACCGCAATTATACGGAATTTGTTTCGTTAATATCGTGTAACTAGGTAGGGGTCACGTCTAACCTATACAGGGTTTGAATTATTACAGCGTCGGGGTTGAAAAATATTTAATAAATTAAATTATTCGTCGCTGTTAAAAATTGACAAGAGTTTATATAGTTTATATGAAGTTTACACCAACATGGTGCATCTTAAATTCCTCATCTTAAATTAAAAAATCACTCCAATTTGAGATGAAGAACAATATTCATCCCTTACATATTAATCATGTAATTTAAAAATGCCAGTGAACCTAGCGTTAAAAGAAAATATCCAATATTTCGAAACATGTCGGAAAAATGGCGGAAAGGACATCGTAGGGAGGACGAAGAGCAAGGTTGAAGAGCGAGTTCTCGGGAAGGAAGGTAAAAGGGCGAGGAAGAAAGACCGTCGGGAGAAATCGCTCGCGTGGATTCGGTCGTCTTCGTTGGTTACAGGCGAAGAAGGAAGAGGACGCAAAGGCGGAACGGAAAGCGCGACGAGGAGAGGACGAAGACGCGTAAAGAGAGAATCGCGGCGCGGCGGTCGGCCAATGCGCGAAAAGAATAGCTAGCTGATTCATACGCGAAGTCACGAGCCGTACGTCGTACGCAGCCGGCGTACGGCCGTGCAAGCGTAATCGAAAACACACGAGATGCACACGTTTCGCGGCGAGCCTCCCTTCCTTCCACCGACGCGTACGCTTTTATACTCGGATTCTTTCTTCCGACAACCGAATATCTCGGGAACGATGATTAACCGCCGATTTCAATTATCTCTTTGGGGAATTTGCGTTGGGGTAGATTACAACTTTACGTCGGGGTAAATAGACTTCAACGACAAAATTATATATCGAGTTAGGCTGGGTAGATATGAAGTTTGCGGCAGAAGTAGACTTGGATGACAAAATTATGTATCGAGTTATAATAGGTAGATTCATAGTTCACGCTAGAATAAGTGGACTTCGATAACGAAATTATATAGGAAGTTATATTAGGGGAGATTCAAAGTTTGCGTCAAAATATAAAGAGCCAAAATAACAAAATTATATATCAATTTAGTGTTAAGTTAATAGACAAAGTGGTGTATGAAGTTAGATGCAAAGTATGAAGTTATTATTAACTGTGTTTTAAAACACAGGAAGACAATGAAAATATTTAATCAGTATAGGTAGAAAATAATAAAAAGAAAAGAATTGTTGATCGAAACAGTGATGGGTATTTTTCCGAGGACGTAAAAGGATACCAGTGTCCTCTTACCGAGTGAAACGCGAAGCAGAAAGTTGTGCGTCCACGCGGACGAGTGTACGAAGACGATACCAAAGGGAAGAAGGTTGAAGGGAGAATAGTTAAAAATAACCTGACCAAGGGTCCTTAGCTCAGCTTCGGTTCCTGTAAACACGTCCGTGGAGAGAGAGTCGGGGCTAAAAGAAGTCCAAAAGACGCGGGCCTCGCGTGCGTCGAACGGAAAGAGAATAAGCCGAAGAACGGAGACTACCGGGGTACAGCTCAGACGGAGGCGAATAAATTTGTCGGTACTCACGTGCTTCCATAGAGGTGTCCCGATTGGGTGGTGGCAACTGCGTCGTCGACGAAGTGGTCGTGGTCCCGGTCGTCGACGTGGACGAGCCTTTACCCTGAACCACGGTGACCTTGACCTGTTCCTCGCTACCGTCAGCCTCCTCGTCCTTTTTGGCATCCAGGTCCGGGCTCGGGCGTGTCCTTACAGCTCCCGGCTGCTCATCTTCGGGATACGACCACGATGACATCGGCCCGGCGACTGTTGTGCTCCACTCGACGACACCACCACCACCACCACCACCACCTATGACCTCACCCGCGAACACGAACCTCCCTCCGTGTTTATCCGTGACACCTACTTCCTCGTCCTTCGACTTCCTGTTGCGTCTTCCCGACAGTTGCTCGTCCGACAACCGTGGCACAGTTCGATGGACCGAACGATCGGTGGTCCAGGTTACCGGTACCGTAGTCGTCGCGCGC